GGAGGGTTCCTGGGTGCCTTGTTCCAGGCAGTCCGTTTGCCTTCCTAATACTTAGCCCCGCTCTGACAATTTTTTTTTTTTTTAATGTGCCTTTTGGGTTGGCTAGAAACTGAAGTAGAAGTAGACTTAAGGGTCATAGAGTTGGGACAGTTTCTTCCTCCTCTTGTTGGGAGGTGAGCACATTTACAGATACTGCAGATTCTTTTGCTTCATAGTTTCCATGCCTTCTGCCCAGCTTAGTTTAAGCAGTGAAGATTTTCTTTTTCCTTTTCTCCCATGACACCTACCAGAGGAAGCACCACCTCAATTCCTCTTCCTCCTCTTGCCTTTCACCTGGGCTCTCAGACCTAATTAACATACTGACCCATTTATGTTGCAGGTCTCATCTTTGGCATAGTTAGCATTTCCCTACCTATTCCTGTGGCTAGAATTGGTTGGGTGGTTACTGAACAGGAAGAAACAAACCATACGTACTTGGGCCAAGGCTCTGCATTCTGCCTTTCTTCTCAGATTCCCAAAAGAAAAAAAATTTGAGTGAGAAGCAAGGGCAAACAAGGCTCTTGACTGAGCCTCCTACCTGTTCAGTTCTCCTCATCTGAGTGAGAAGCATCACTTTTGATAACTAGCACTGGAAAAATGAAATCATCTGTTTGAAGTGAAGGGACCCATTTTTCTTTGCTTTCAGCCCATGTAAATATTTAAATAATACAGTATTAACATTTTTGTGCTGCTTCCCACTAGCTTGTAGATTGAGCCATACTCTGGCTGCCTCTCTACCTTCCTGGGGGCAGTTTTCTTTAAACTTTCAGAATAGTGATTTTAAAACTTAAAGGAAAAATAAAATAACCTATCCTTACTTACAAGCATTACAGATTGTATTTAACTTTATCACATATGATAGAGATATATATGCTGTAAAATTAGGGAAAGGAACTTTCTAATAAACCAATGATTTGTGGAAACTTGGCAGAGTCTGTCGTGATTGTTGCCCCATCCATTCAAGCTGGGAAGGGATGGAGTTACAGGCTACAAATAACGTGAAGTAATCAAGGAATAGATTCTTGTGAACGAGTTGCTTATGATATTTGGAATTGAGCTTCTCAAGACAGCCTGCTCAAGTATAGAGGAAAAACTGCCATAGGAGGAAACAATAATGGTTAATTTCCTTTCGGTCTTAGGTGGTATGTCTTCCTTTCCACTCTTTCCCACAAGAATTTTCTTCTAGGTCTACTTTTTTCCTCAGTTTAGATATATAATCTCTGTGTGGTAGAACCTATGGCATGGAGGTGCTTACTAAATGGGTTTAGAATTTCTGGTTTTGAAACTTTTAGGATTTGCAATGAACTTCAGGGTGATGGGAATAGGAGTCATCTGCCTGGCCTTTGCCTCCGAGATGGACATTTGTATACCCAACCAGTCTTGGATTAACCTTACCCTTTTAATACTACACTGCAATGCTTGAGAGCTACCTGGTAAAAGGAAATGTGCTAATTGTTAGAGCAGATAAAAGCCTCGGTCTCCTGTTTAAAAAAAAAAAAAAAAGTTTAGCAACAAAAGCTAATGCCTGGGTGATTCAGTGGGCTAAGCATCTGCCTTCGGCTCAGGTCATGATCCCAGGATCCTGGGATTGAGTCCTAGATCAGGCTCCACATTCAGCCTGCCACTCCCCCTTCTTGTGCGCTCCCCTTTCTGTCTCTCAAAATCTTTTTTTAAAAAAAGCTAACCATAGGTTTATAGTGATAGTTTCCTCTCTCCCTCAGTCTTTCAGGAAGGAGTAGTACAATGTTTCTTTCATGCTCTTTCATGCAGCTGTGTTCTCACCTTGAGGAAAGAGAAGCTGTTCAATTTGAACCTTATGTCGGATGCTCAGATCTGCCTCTTTTCATAAAAGAGCAAAATCCCTGCCCAGAAAGAAGGCATGTTAGAAAATGAAAGTGACATTCTAAGCAGGCAGGGTGCAGTGCAAGAGGCAGACTGGCCTGTAGACAGAGTTACAGGGACATGTGCTGGTGTCTGATCCCAGTAAGGGTTTTTTCAGCTACCTGCCCTGGCAACATGGACATACTCTCCTCTCCTACACCCTTGATGCCTACCTAAATCAGGCCTTGTCAACCATTTCCATTCTTATTTGCCAGAAATACCTTCACCTCCCCCTTACCAGCTCCTGTCTGTGCCACATTTTCCTGGCCAGCCTCACCAGGATCTAACTCCTTATCCCATTTAAGCTTATTTACCCCATGTAAGCTCTTCAGAATCTGGGTGTAATTCATTTTATATTTACTGCTTTCCAGTAACATTGTAAGTTCAGGACAGGAACTGATTTTTATACTTTTTTTTTTTTTTTTAGTCCTTTAGAGAGTTTTAGGTAGAGTTGAACACAAACATTTTGACTATTTAAATATGAGCAAAGAAAATATTAACGGAGAATTATGCAAGGATTTAACAAGGAAGCATCAAAGATGATAAAGGATTTTTATATATCTTCCACATCACCTAGCTCAGTGCTAGGCACATAGAAATTCAATAATTTTTTTTTTTTAAGATGCTATTTACTCAGAGAGCCAGAGACATAGGCAGAGGGAGAAGTGGCTTCCTATGGGGAGCCCGATGCGGGACTCGATCCCAGGGTACCCAGGATCACAACCCGAGCTGAAGGCAGACCCTCAACCACTGAGCCACCCATGCGTCCCTGAAATTCAATAATTATTGACTTCATGAAACCTGAACAAAACTTTGGATTCATTGAGGAATTCTAGGACTCCACGTTGATGGGAAAGTGGGAGCACTCTGCCTACTATCTCAGAAGGGAGATCAACCAGCTATGGCTCCAGAGGAATACCCATGAGAAACCAAATTCTCAAATATCAAACTTCTCTCAAGTCTGATCCTTCACATAATTCCAGTTTCAGCTGATGGTATGTCCTACCAGCCAGTAAGGCACCAAAGCTTTGAATTACTTTGACACCTCCCTACCACATCCAGTTACTGATGGTGTAATCTCCCCTCTCTCGTTCCTGTCATCAGTATCCTGGTTCAGGCCTCACCACCTTTAATGGAGGGGATTGCAGTGGCTGCCCATCTGATCTTCCCACTAAGTCCTGCCTTTTTCAGTTCGTTCTATCCACAGAGAAACAGTGTAATCATCTGAAATGGAGCACAGTTGGTCAATGTAGCTCTTATTCCCTGACTTAAAAAATCTTTATGATTTTCCAACTCTTAGAGTCCAAATTTCTTAAGGCATTCAAGGACCTCCAGTGATTTGACCCCAGCCTTCCATTCCATCCTCATGCCCCAATCCTCACCTTTGGACACCCAGTGCTGAGTTGGCCACTTGCCTTTTCCCTATAATCGACCTCTATGGTCTACTGCTCTCTTTGCTCATGTTATTTCCTGTGCCTGAAAACCTCTTCATTCTCAGACAGAAGGCAACATGGTAGAATGGTGAAGAACATGGATTCAAGTGTTTCAATCCTTGTTTGGCCACCCATTGGCTATGTAAGTTTAGGCAATTTACCTAAAACTATGTGCGATGGTTTCTGCATTTATAAAATGGGCATAATAGTACCTATTTCATAGGGTTGTCAAAAAGAACAAAGATAGGACTTCAGTTAGGCATAATGTCCACTCTTTTCAAGGCATTCTTCACTGTCCCTCTGCTGCAGTTACATGTGTTCATGTCCTAATTCTGAGCTAAGTTCTTTAAGGATCCCTGACCATTATCTTTGTATTTATCACTCAGTGCCTTGAGCAGAATAAATACCCTTTTTTTAAAGATTTTACTTATTTAAGGGTGCATGGGTGGCTCAGTCAGTTAAGTGCCTTCAGCTCATGTCGTGGTCTCGGGATCGAGCCCCACATCAGGCTCCCTGCTCAGTGGGGAGCCTGCTTCTCTCTCTGCTCCCCACTCGTGCTCTCTTTTGCTATCTCTGTCTCTCTCTCTCTCTCTCTCAAAATCTTAAAAAAAAAAGATTTTTTTATTTGACAGCAAGCACACAAACAAGCGGAGTGGAGCAGCAGGCAGAGGAAGAGGGAGAAGCAGTCTCCCTGCTGAGCAGGTAGCCAAATGCAGCTGATCCTGGGATCATAACCTAAGCTTAAGGCAGACGTTTAACCGACTGAGCCACCAAGGCCCCCCAGAATAAATACCTATTAAAGACTTCAGTGGGATGTGACAATATTGGGCTATACAGTATACAGCAGTAATACCACTTGGTTGAAGACAAGGAGAGAGTGGAAAGTAAGTATAGGACAGAATTAAGTATTCATTCTAGCAAATCATTGCATGCCCACCACAAGCTTAGCACTGGGAATTCAGCAGTGAAGAAAGTCCAGACTAAAGTTCAAGGAGCTTCTAATCTAATAAAGGATAGGATTTTGAGCTGTGTGCTGAATTATGAGAACAGAGGAGCTGGAAGGAAACCTGAATGGCACAGGATAGCTGGGCAGGATGCGATGATGGTTAAGTTTGGTTAGAAAATATAGAGCAGAAGGAGGATGTGGCAGTCTTCCTTTACTTGGAGCAGATCTCTTGAATTTCCTTCCTGTGAAACTGCTTTTTGGAGGAAGACCTGCAGTGCCAATAAGACTTGTCACTCTTCTTCCTGTCCTCTAGAGAAAATTACCTTGCCTTTCTGCGCAAAACTACTTCTCTTTCCACTGTGTGACTTCATGTTTCCGTGCTCCCATTCAGTCTATCAGCAATACCTACTAAGTGTTGGGCTCTTGGCTAGGTCCTGGGGCCACAGAAAGGAACCTTGCTCCCAAGGGAGTCATGGACACAATCATGTCCATGAATGGACCATTACAAAACAACATGATCGGTGCTGTGCCCATGTGTGTCAACCCCAGAATACCAGCCTAAGGACTTGAAGGAGGCTTCCCCTAGGCAGTGACCCCACTAGAATTAAGTCTTAATTGGACAAGAGCTCTGTCACCTATGAAAGACTGAGGGTCTGCCTTCAACCAAAGAAGCTGGTGTATAGTCCCAGAACCTGTGAGCCTGAAGACCCTGGACTCAACTCTATCCTCATCTCCTTTCCCCTTCGCCACCCCTTCACCAGCACCAGCGGCACTGCTGTGACCACACTAAGACTTGGCCTGAGATGGAGGGAGAGTGGAGAAACCTGCTACACCAATATGGCTGACCAAGGCCCTGGAAGGAGGAAGTGGGTAAGTGCGTTATCCAAAAGGATATAGCAGCTTCAGGTCTTATCAGGGGACAGCACCCCTTCCTCCACCTCTGACCAAGTCATAGTGGGCCACAGCAATGCAGACCACTGTGAGATGGAGAGCAAGAGCTATAAAACAACTAGAGTGGACGTGTACACACCATTATAGTTCATGGTTATGCTATCCCAAGCAGAAAGGAATGGTGGCTTAGACTAGCCTGGTGTTAGTGGAAATGTGAAGATTCAAGAGACATAGTTGAAAGGCAGAATCAACAAGACTTGGAGATAAACTACTCTCAGGAAAAGGGAGGAGTCATGGCTTTCAGCTATTAGCATCCACCCCGCAGGGTGCCCTCACCCTCTTCCTGGCAATCCAAGATACCATATGGTTCCAAGGCCTGTAGCCCTTTCCTCTGCCTACTGCTCAGCAAGTGAGTTCCAGTCTGATAAGAAAAGCCTTCCTGTGGTGGAGACTGAAAGGAAGAGGAGGGAGCTAGCCCATTCCTGCCCAGGAGATTGTGGGAGAAGGAAGATGGCCAGAGCTGTATGTCCACTTCATGCCCTCTGGCTTCTGGAGTGGGTGCAGCTGTTCTTGGGACCTGGTGCCATCCCTCTAGCCTGGGCCTTGAACTTGGACCCAGTGCAACTCACCTTCTACACAGGCCCCAATGGCAGCCACTTTGGGTTTTCACTGGACTTCTACAAGGACAACCATGGGAGGTAAGGCTGGGGTGAAGTTTGGGTGTTGGGGAGAGAGTTACTATCACTACTTCTGTGAACCCATTTGTGATAGAGGTTGAGCAAAGTGACTTCTAGGCTCTATTCAGACAGTTCTTTTTAGGAATACTGGCAGGAACTAGCTCAAGTAAAGGTGTCAGGGAGGGGCACACATGGAAAGGTGAGCACCAAAACTACAGGAAAAACAAAGGGAAGATAAAAGTTGATGCCTTCTTTTTTCCTTCAAGGGTCAGTTGTATGACCTATTCCATCTTTGTTTTCTCAAAATACAGAGAGGAGCATGTGTCTTAAATTTACTTGCAAAACTATCTACCTGCCCCCACCTTGCTGTTCTATTCTGTGTCCCTCTTCCCCATCAAAATTACAGATATTTGAAAAGAAACAATAGAGCATTAATGGTTGGGATTAGTCAGCTGCGAAATCAGACTTCCAAGATTAGAATCCTGGTTCCTTCTCTTTATTGTAACTATCCTGCACTACTTATTGTGGTAGATGCTGTGATGCCCACCTCTGGGGAGTGGGAATGGCAGACAGCCTTCAACTATCTGACTCTTAGGGAATTTTCTTTGCTGAAGAGAGTCACCTCCCCCAAAGTCAAGTCCCTTTTCCAATGCGACCTACAATCAATGACTGATCAATGAGGAGTGTGGAGGGAGGTGTAAGGGTCTGATGTTCTCACCTCAACTTGGGACTGTTCTGAAGAGTTCTTCTAGCTCCAGAGCTCCCAGGATGTTGCCTCATGGCTGTCAATGGGTCTGGATCTGCATTTGACCCCTTTCTCTGCCCACTCCTGCTTCTTTCCCTTTCTTTCTAAATACTGGCCTCATAGGCATTACTTAAACATCCTGCAAGCTAAAAGAAAATTATAGCATTTTTTTTTTAGTACTTGTTAAGCATTACTTGGCTGGCACCATGCAAAAATGTCCCTCATACCTTGATTTCATTTACTTCTGACATTGGTTGGTATTGTTCCCAATTTATGTATGGTAGAGCTATGATTTGAACCTAGATCTACTAAAGTCTTTGGTGTTATCAGTATCCCACTTTAGAGGTGGCCAGTAGTTTCCCTAATCCTTCACCATTAAAACTAGCTCTTAGGAAAGCATCTGGTAACAGTATTAAGTTCTAGGAAGCATGTAAACCTCTGACTTTTGGTGTGGGGTGCCGAAGTGAAGGATATGGAATTGGAGGGTGTGCAGAGCTTAGGAGGTCTTGCAAGGATGCAAACTCTTCATATTCAAATCAAACCAAAAAGTTATATAGTACCAGCTTTACCGTTAACTGGCTAGATTACTTTAGGCACGTGGTTTCCCCACTGGGAGACGGTTTCATTGACAATAAAATGAAAAGATTGGCCTCCACGGTCTGTGATGTCTCCTTGAGGGAAGACGATCCAGTGCCTTCCCAGGCACACAGCCCTTCCGGGTAGTGCTCTCAACACAGGCACCAGGGCAGGTGCTACCTCGGCATCTGCGCCGCACTCACCCAGCTTTCCTACGCAGAGTGGCCTTCGTGGTAGGCGCCCCGCGGACCCTGGGCCGCAGCCAGGAGGAGACGGGCGGCGTATTCCTGTGCCCCTGGAGGGCCGAGGGTGGCCAGTGCACGTCGCTGCCTTTTGACCTCAGTGAGTCCTGCGCAAGGAGGGTAAAGGAGGGGCCACCCGGAGCTTGGGCAGCCTGGCTTCAGCGCCCACCCTTCTTATGCCCTCCAGATGACGAGACCCGACACATAGGCTCCCACACCCTCCAAACCTTCAAGTCCCGGCAAGGACTGGGGGCGTCGGTCGTCAGCTGGAACGACAACATTGTGGTGGGCGCCACGGAACGGGGAGCAAAGAGCAGTCGGGGGCAGGGACACGTGGGCGGGGATCCCGGGTCCCGCCGATTCCCCACTCTCCTTTGGCCCTGCTCCAGGCCTGCGCCCCCTGGCAGCACTGGAACGCCCTAGAAAAGACGGAGGAGGCCGAGAAGACGCCCGTAGGTGGCTGCTTTGTGGCTCAGCTCCGGAACGGCCACCGCGCGGAGTACTCGCCGTGTCGGGCTAACACCATGAGCTCGGTTTATGTGAACAATCCGTTTAGTGAGTTCGGCTCCCTGTTTTATCTCCGCCCTCTCAGGGCCACTTAGCTCCGCCCTCAGCACCTCCCCAGGAGCCGCCCAGGAGCCGCCCAGTCCCCGGCTTTCTGTCCCGCATTTCCCCTTGGCCCAGCTCCTAGTCCCACCCCGCCTCGCTCTGCCTGGGGGCCGCGCCCGTCGGTTACCCCGTGGCCCCGCCCCGGCCCGGCCCTGCCCCGCCCCGGCCCGGCCCCGCCTCCGGCTCCAAGGTCTCCTCGCCCCGCCCCTTCGCTGACCCCTCCCCTCCCTCCTCTAGACCGAGACAAGCGCTATTGCGAAGCTGGCTTCAGCTCTGCGGTCACTCAGGCGAGTGGGGAGCACTAGCGGCGTGGGGGGGGGGGCTTCCGAACACGGCCCCCCCTCACTTCCAGGGCTTCCCTTTCAGGCTGGAGAGCTGGTGCTTGGGGCCCCCGGCGGCTATTTTTTCTTAGGTACGTGCCCATCTGTACACTTCACACCCTTCTCTCGGCCTGCGGAGACCGCAGGCGTCTGGGCCCCCACACCCGCTGTCCCTCGCGCCGTAGGTCTCCTGGTGCGGGCGTCTATTGACAATATCATCTCGAGTTACCGCCCGGGCACCCTGTTGTGGCACGTGCCCTCCCAGAGCTTCACCTACGACTACAGCAAGCCAGAGTACTACGACGGCTACCGGGGTAACCCTGGCACCTCCTCCTAGGCCTCCCAGCCCTCTGAGAATCGCCGCCCACCCCGCGGGTCAGGTCCTGAGGCGCCTCCACCCTCTGGTCCCTCGGCTTCCCCGCCACCGCCAACTCCCATTTGCCCCACCTTGCCTTTCCCACCCCGGATTAGCTGCGCAGCCCCGGGCTGACCTTGGCCTCTCGATGGCCTGTTTTCCCATCTACACAATGCAGGGTTTGGACTGGGTGGTCTCTGGGTCCCCCCTTCTTCCTTGCCCATGGCCTTCTCGCTGCTTCGCCCTCCCAGAAAGATTAATTCGTGCTGTCTCTTCAGGGTACTCGGTGGCTGTGGGCGAGTTCGATGGGAATCTCAACACTACAGGCAAGAAACCCATTTCCGGGACAAAGGATGGGGAGCCCCGCCCGGGGAGGAGCACCTCCAAGCCCCGCACCAAAGTCTCCCCTGGGTTACAGAATCGCGGGCGGGAGGGTCGGTGGTAGGGTCGAAGGACCTCATTCCCTGGGGTCCGGCTCTCCCCAGAGTATGTCCTTGGTGCCCCGACCTGGAGCCGTACCCTAGGAGCGGTGAGTGCCCCCTGTCCCGCCACTCGGCATCCCAAGCCTTCGACCCCCCTCCTCAGCTTCACGAGCCCCTTTCTCACTCGGAACGGAAGGCTGTCCTGGAGAGCAGGAATGACGCGCTCCTGTGCTTGTCCGTGCAGGTGGAAATTTTGAACGAGCACTACCAGACGCTGCACAGGCTGCACGGAGAGCAGGTGGAGGCCGGTTCCGGTGGGGGTGGCCGACGCTGGGGAACTGGAGCCCTAGAATGTTCCACGGGGTTGGGGGGGGGCAATGTGCAAGAGAGGGTGCCTGTCTGGGCGGGGGACGGGGATTCAGTAAGCTTCGTCTTCCTGCAGATGGCTTCGTATTTTGGACACTCGATAGCTGTCACTGATGTCAACGGAGACGGGTGAGGCCACCCCATCCCTACCCGTTTGGGTCCCCCATCACCAGAGGAGTTGCCTGCTCTGGGTCGCCTCCTTTCCTCCCCCACTCCCACGTAACCACCGAGGGGAGCGGGAGGGCGAGAACGGAGCCGGCGAGTTTGGGCTAATCTCCCTAACCCACCCCATGGTACCCCCCATCCGGCCTGCAGGAGGCACGACTTGCTGGTGGGCGCGCCACTGTTCATGGAGAGCCGCGCGGACCGCAAGCTGGCCGAGGTGGGGCGCGTGTACTTGTTCCTGCAGCCTCGAGGTCACCAGGCGCTGGGCGCCCCCAGCCTCCTGCTGACTGGCACACAGCTCTATGGGCGATTCGGCTCGGCCATCGCATCTCTGGGCGACCTCGACCGGGACGGCTACAACGGTAAGGGGCAGAGAGGAGCACCGCTTGCTTCAGACTGGTTAACAGCCAGAACCAAGACCACCGATTTGACCAGAGGGCAGCCAGAGCGGGGAAGGGCTTTTCTCTGGAAGAGTTGAATGGGACCAGTTTGTTTGCATTGGTCCAGGCAAGAGATGGTGACCACCTGGATGTGAATGTGGGCAGTGGAGTTAGAGATGGAGGTGATGTCACAGATATTTAGTAGCTGGACTATTAGGACTTGATGGGTGAGTGGGTGGATGTGGAGTTAGAGAGAGGAGTTGGAGGGGATAGTGTTGATGCCTTCACGGCCTGGAGCTCAGACTCAAGGTCTGGTGGGGCCGGGGCCTGGGTGGGGGTGGGGATGGCAGGCGGTGGGGATCAGCAGTTCAACTCTGGGCCTGTTTGACCTTGAGGGGCTGGAGAGCATCAAACCCACGGCCAGAGAAGGTGTGTGCCTTCCCCATTTGCACCAGATAGGCACTTGGGAAGGGTGGATGAGATCCCTGCACCTGTGAAATGAGAAGAGGCAAAGGATAAAACCCTGGGGAGCAAGAGCATTTAGCGGACCCTCAAAGGAAGTGAGTCTGGAAGGGAGACAGGAGTGTCCAGAAAAGTAGGAGGGAAACCAGGAGATCTGATGGCCCAGAACTAAAAGGAAAAGAGTGCTCTGAGCAGGAGGAAAGGGGTCAGTGGCGCCAGATATTGCTGAAAGGCATAATTAGATGAGGCTGGAGAAGTATCCATGGGCTTTAGCAAGAAGGAGATTATTGGTGACAGTGACACTGATTCAGGGCTGGGTAAGGACAGAAGTCAGGATGCCATGGGGCAAGGTATGAATGGAAGTGAAGAATTGGAGGCAGTGAGTGTAGACATGTCTTTCAACCAGTTTGTGAAAGAAGAAAGAAAAGATGATTCTTGAAAGGAGATGAGGGCCAAGGGAAGGTTATTCTAATTTCAAAGCATATGGAGTAGGTCAAATGTGGAGAAAATGATCCTGGGGCCGGGGGGGGGGGGGTTGAGGAAAGGGAGCCCAAGGAAGGTACCTGTGATGCTCTGAGGGGTAGGTGGGGCTGGGATATTTAGGGTAAAGGAGTTGGGGAAAATGAGTTCCAATTTATAGCACAACAGTTGGGCTACTTCTCTTTGTGAAGGAAGTAGGGGGCTGGGAGCTTGACAGAATGAAGAAAGTTGGAAATAAGTGCTGAGCAGAGTGGGAGAGGGGCCGAGCAGAACTCCCCCAGGATGGCTGGGAAGTACCTGGTTCCCTAGCACAGATGGATGGTCAGGAGTCCCTGAGGCACAATCTGCTGAGGTCTGGCCAGGCTTGCTGAGGACTGGCAATGGGGTAAGATGGCAGAGGATATGACCAGGGTGATCGAATGGTCAGAAATAAGTGAAGAGATCAAGATGCCAAAGACCAAGAGAGGGGAGGCCCAGAGTCTGGGGACAAGACTGGTCAGGGTAGACTTATTTGGATGAATTCTGTGTAACTCAGTCAGATACAGATAAAATAAATAAAATTTTATTTATTTATTTGACAGAGAGAGCACAAGTAGGCAGAGCAGCAAACAGAGGGAGAGGGAGAAGCAGGCTCCCCATGAGCAGAGAGCCCAATACAGGGCTCAATCCCAGGGCCCTGGGATCATGACCTGAGCCAAAGGCCAATGCTTAACTGATGGAGCCACCCAAGTGCCCCTCAATAGATTTTTAAAAGGAAAAAAGGTACATAGAAAACAAAATCAGAAGACAAAGGAAAGACAGTTATAACCTATATATAAAAGATCTTAATTCCTGTCACATGTAAAAAACTCTTACAAATTAATAAGTTTATGATGATTAACAAATGCATTTTCAAGAGTGATCTTAAAAGTTATTAGTGATGACAACTCCACAGAATTAAATAGGATGAAGAGAGACACCTAGATGGCTCAGTTAAGCATCAGACTCTTGATTTTGGCTCAGGTCATGATCTCTGGATCAAGCCCCCAGTTGGGCTCTCTGCTGGGTGTGGAGCTTGCTTGGGACTCTCTCTCCCTCTCCCTCTGCTCCTCCCCACTCATGAACGCACATCCATTCTCTCTCTCTCTCAAATAAATACAGTCTAAAAAAAAGAAAGGAAAAAAGAAATGGGGTGAAGTTCCCTAGGGGAATAGGGGGCCACTACTTAATCGGTCGTGGTTATTTAACCTTCTGGGACTCAGTTTTTTCATCTAAAATGGGAATAATAATGCCTAATTTTCAGGATTAAACAAAATTATGTCAATATGCTTTCCTCAGTAGATACCAAGGGCTGCTACTGTCTTTATAATAACTCTACTTGATGGGTCTCTTTTGTACTCAGTTGTAAACTCCTGGAGGGCAGGGCAGCTGCCTTCTTGACCCCGTCCCTCTGCTGGTCCCCTGGGATCTGCCAGAGTGGGAGCTCTGGGCCACCTGGATACCAAACAAAAATTGGAGAAAATTATAGCAAACAGCCCTTTCTGTTGCTCCTTCCAGATGTTGCAGTGGCTGCCCCCTACGGAGGTCCCAGTAGTCTGGGCCAAGTGCTGGTGTACCTAGGTCAGAGTGAGGGGCTCAGCTCACGCCCCTCCCAGATCCTGGACAGCCCCTTCCCAGCAGGCTCTGGCTTCGGCTTCTCCCTGCGAGGTGCCACAGACATCGATGACAACGGATACCCAGGTGGCCCTAGAATGCCTCCAGCTAGCCAAGACGGGCTCTCGGGCATTAGATGGAGATAATGAAAGACACAGTCAGGGGTCTATGCCCCGCTGAGTGTTCTGATCCTTCTGGGAGGTCAGGGGAGGCCAGGGGAGGCCAGGTCAAAACTCCAGTGGGGCGGGATGCCCAGGTGGCTCAGCAGTTTAGTGCCGCTGAAGCCTAAGGTGTGATCTTGGAGACTTGGGATAGAGTCCCATGTCAGACTCCCTGCATGGAGCCTGCTTCTTCCTCCACCTGTGTTTCTGCCTCTCTCTCTCTCTCTCTCTCTCTCTCTCTCTCTCATGAATAAATAAATAAAATCTTTAAAAAAAAAAACTCCAGTGGGGCAAATAGTGTGGGAAACCCCGGGAAAGATGAGATGAGGACCTACTGCCTCCTCTAACTGCTGATTCTGACCTCTCCAATATCTTTAGACCTACTGGTAGGAGCTTATGGGGCCAGCAAGGTGGCTGTGTACAGGTGAGCGCTGGCTCCAGGGGCATGGTGAGGGAGTGTCCCCACCATCAGAGGATCCTGAGCCAGGAGGACCCACAACATCAAGCCTCGCCCTGTCCCACCAGAGCTCAGCCAGTGGTGGTGGCCAATGTCCAGCTGCTGGTACAAGATTCACTGAATCCTGCTGTGAAGAACTGTATCCTGCCTCAGACCAAGACACCAGTGAGCTGGTGAGGAGACGGGGCACAAGCCTGGCAAGATTTGGGATCTTGAAGGGCCCTACCCCTGAGCTCAACTCATCTATTTGCAGCTTTAACATACAGATGTGTGTGGGAGCCACTGGGCACAACATTCCTCAGCAGCTGCGTGAGTGTCGTTGTGGAGACAGAAGGGAGTTGGGTCTGGGCTCATCTGGAAACTGGCCACAGAGACCCTGACCCTTCCTGTTTTCCCTGCCAGCCCTAAATGCCGAGCTGCAGCTGGACCGGCAAAAGCCCCGCCAGGGCCGGAGGGTGTTACTGCTAAATTCTCAGCTGGCGAGCAGCACCCTGCATCTGGACCTGGGCGGGAGGCACAGCCCCATCTGCCACACCACCACCGCCTTCCTCCGAGTACACCCAGGCTGGGGATGGGAAGGGTTGGGTGTGCAGGCCTGTTTATCCAGCCCTTGGGCATGAGCTGGGTGCTGTGGGTCGGGGGGTGGCCAGTGGGATATGTATGGCAGGCGTGTGGTCCGACTTTTGTCCCCTCCCTAGGATGAGGCCGACTTCCGGGACAAGCTGAGCCCCATTGTACTTAGCTTGAATGTGTCGCTACAGCCCAGGAAGGATGGAGTAGCCCCTGCCATCGTGCTGCATGGAGACACCCATGTCCAGGAGCAGGTGGGGGTGGGCAGGAACAGGCAAAAGAGGTGCGGGACCCCTGCCAGAAAGTCAGGGTTAGGGTTAGTGTCCAAGTCAGTAAGGCGAATCCCAAAACCTTGATATCACCTCTCATCTCTGATGTCACTCTAAACCCTAATGAAAACCCCCAAATCTCAAAATTCTCTCAATCCTGATACAAGTCCCATGTGTTGTGGATGTCACTTCTAAACTCTGACAAGCCTATAAACCCTGATGTCACCATCATAACATGATCCCAAACCCTGATGCAAATCCCAAAGCCATGATGTCAGCCCCAAACTCCTTTTCAGTCTCAGAACTTCGTTAGAAGTTCCGTAAGTCCTGATGTGACCCCCAAAATTCACATGTCCCCAACTCACCACACACCTTGATTTGCCTCTTCTAGACTCGCATCATCCTAGACTGTGGGGAAGATGACCTGTGTGTGCCCCAGCTCCAGCTCACCGCCATCGTGTGAGGCCATTTGCCCCATGACACCCCTTTGCCCCCTGGGGCCTGATACTCTGTCCTCGCCCCCTTCCCAGACCCTGGGCCTGGATCCAGCCTTCTCTGCTTCACTCCTTTCTCCCCATAGGATGGGCTCCCCACTCCTCATTGGAGCCGATAATGTACTGGAGCTGCAGATGGATGCGGCCAATGAGGGCGAGGGGGCCTACGAAGCAGAGCTAGCTGTGCACCTGCCCCCAGGTGCCCACTACATGCGGGCCGTCAGCAACATTGAGGTGACACTTCACTTTGGGGGCATTACCGTGGACCTGGGAGGTGCAAGAGCATTGGCTCTCATTTTCCACCTGAGAGCCCCCACTTCTCTTCCACATTGTAGTAAAAACTGTGATTTTTTTTTTATTTGGAAAAGGAATATTTACTAATAGCATAAAATCCGAGGACTATTATAAAGCCCAGACCAAAAATGGCTCAGGAATTAATGTCAGCAGGAACTTGTGTTAGAAGGACTGTGTTAATGGGAACTCAGCATTTGAAAGGAAGGTGGACTTCCTTTGGGTCTTTTCTCTCAGTATCGACAGACACTTACATGGGCATTATTTACTTTTTTATTTTGTTGATCACAGTAGTAGTAGTTTATCACAATGGGATCATGCTCTATGTAATGTTTTGTGTTTTTTATTTTCAAAAATGTCATTGAAAATAATAAGGTGCTCTAGAGATACATAAAGGAGAATGTGACGTCCCTCAATCTCCCATCCTAAGAAGCGTCCCTCTCGACCCTGGCCCACAAGTCTCTTCCAGGCTTTCCAAGGGATCTTACACATATATGGGATACTCCAACTATCTTTTTTCTTTTTAAGATTTTATTTTTTTATTTATTTATTTGAGAAAGAGAGAGATCACAAGTGGAGAGAGGCAGAGGGAGAGGGAGAAACAGACTCCTGCCTGAGCAGGAAGCCTGATGTGGGGCTTGATCCCAGGACCCCTGGATCATGACCTGAGCCAAAGGCAGATGCCCAATTGACTGAGCCACCCAGGTACCAAACCAACCATCTTCTTTCTTGAAACTATCTCCCTGAAGGGCTTTGAGAGACTCATCTGTAACCAGAAGAAGGAGAATGAGACCAAGATAGTGCTGTGTGAGCTGGGTAACCCCATGAAGAGGAACGCCCGGGTGAGACCCCAAGGCATGGGTGCTGGGTCCACTCCACCAGGGACTCATACACACCCAAGTTTTAGGGGTCAGGCTTGGAGTCCTATAGCTCTGGGCTGAAATTCTGGTCCTCACACTCCCTGTGTTCTTGAGTGAGTGGCTTTCCCTCTCTCAGTGGGCTTCTGAGGTAATGATGGGGACATGGAGGATGGGAACCAGAGGTCACATGCAGGACAGGGCTGCCCAGAGTGGGCATCTGGGCCGTGACTTTGCCCCCCACCCCATCTCTCAGATAAGAATCACCATGTTGGTGAGTGTGGAGAACCTGGAAGAGGCTGGGGAACATGTGTCCTTCTGGCTGCAAATCAGAAGGTACTAGACTGGGAAACATTCCTAGCCACCACCCTTCCCCTAGCTGATCCCGCTGCAGATACCCTCAGATGCCCTCCTTCCAGAAGGGTCTTCTGGGAGGCCCACTCTTCAGACTTCCCTGTTCCCTTTCTTCCCCCAAAGCCTTGTTTCTGAGTCTTGGAGCCCTAGAAGAAGGTCTATCCCAGGTCTAACTTCAGTGTGGCATGCCGTTTGTGGAGTTAGCACTTCCTGAGCACTCTGAAACTCTGGCCCTACCCCTAGAGAGTTCTGCCGTTCACTGGGCTGGGTCCCTGACCTGCTCCTCCTTATCCCCTCCCCTCTAGCAAAAACAGCCAGAATCCGAACAGTGAGGCTGTGCTGCTGGATGTGCCAGTGCGGGCAGAGGCCCATGTGGAGCTAAGAGGGTGAGACCTGGGGTAGATCAGGGAGGTGGCAGGCACAACCCTAAGGTTCAGAGGGCCTTGGGGGAACCCCTACAGGCAAGTCAGGTGATCGAGCTCACCCTGAGGGATTCGGGCCCCTGCAGGAACTCCTTTCCAGCCTCCCTGGTGGTGGTGGCAGAAGAAGACAGCAGGGAGAACAGCTCGGAGAGCTGGGGCCCCAAAGTGGAGCACACCTACGAGGTGCGAAGGACCTTCTGGGGCTCAGGCCGGGGTGGGGAGGGACCCAGGAACTAAGCATGGGTGCTGAGCCACCTAACATCCTACCGCCACCACCTGCCAGCTTCACAACAATGGCCCTGGTACTGTAAGTGGCCTCCACCTCCACCTCTGCTTTCCTGGGGAGTCCCAGCCTTCTGATCTGCTCTACATCCTGGACATACAACCTGAGGGGGGACTTCAGTGTTTCCCCCAGCCCTCTATTAACCCATTCAAGGTGAGAGGCTGAATGGAAGAAAGAGTTGTGGGTGAGGCCCCCAGCCTGTCAACCAGGGTCCCTCCAGCAGGGTAGGTGGGGAGGTGAGCGGCGCCTGGGACTGACTGCTTCTTTGCCTCCCCAGCTGGACTGGAGGCAGCCTACCCCCAGCCCTTCCCCCACTTCCCCGGGGTATCACAAGCGGGAGCGCAGGCAGGCTTCCCTGCCAGGGTCCAGCCAGCCCTCTGGGCTTCAGGATCCAGTTCTCCTGGTGAGCAGACTCTGTGGTCTCCAGCTGAGGCCTCCCTGGGACAGGGGACAGAGGTGCTGGGAGGCAGGGAAAAGGGCTGTCAGTGTGATGTGGGCCGTGGGTGGGCCACCTTGGTCCCCCAGAGTACTCTAGATGAATATGCAGGGTGGGGCTGGTCTTGTGTCTGGGGCCTGGTGGGGGTACTTGAATCTTCAAAGGTTCCTAGTCCCTTAAAGACAAAGAAGAAATGTCAAAGCAGAGTTACAAAAATTCTGAGTGTTGAACACTGGGATGGCACCCTTCTTCCTGCCCTTTCCCTGCATCTCTGGGACCCTGTGAGCAGACTCATTTAGAGATAATGTCGGAAGCTTGAATCTGAGGCCCTTCCTGAGAGGGAGGCCCGAGCTTCCTGCCCCCTAACCCCTTTCTGTTGCTGGGTCCTTGGGGCGATGAGGGGTGAGGAGTCAGAGGGCCTGGGGACCAGTGACGTATCCCCTTAGAGCTGCGAGTCGGGGCCGCATACAGTGGTGCAGTGTGAGCTGCAGGAGATGGCGCGAGGGCAGCGAGCCATGGTCAAGGTGCTAGCTTTCCTGCAGCTGCCCAGCCTCCAGCAGGTGAATGGGCTGCCGGTGGGTGGGGCTTTCTGGGGTGGGGGCCAAGCTTATTCCCTGGAGATATGGGGCCACAGGATGAAGAGGGAAGTGAGGACAAGGCTGACTTTTGAGGGGACAGAATGAGGCCAGGGGGCAGGACTCACAGCAGGGAGGCTGGGGGGGTATGCCTGCAACCAAGAGGCCCCTGTAAAGGGCTTTCACTCCCACCCCATTCAGAGGCCACTGGATCAGTTCGTGCTGCAATCGCAAGCTTGGTTCAATGTCTCCTCCCTTCCCTACGCTGTGCCCTCCCTCAGCCTGCCCAGTGGGGAAGCTCTGGTGAGTATGGAGCGGTGGTGGCAGAGGAGAGGCGTTCTCCAGGACCCACTGCCTTCCCAAAGATGGGGGAGGGACACTCTGGGGGTCTGAGGGGTGGCACAGGTAAGTGGCTTGGTTGGCCGTCCTCAGCCCACAAGTTTGAGTCTTTGATAGAGGCAGGTGTCAAGGTGATGGAGAAAACGTGGGTTTGCCCTCAGGTGCAGACACACCTGCTTCGTGCCTTGGAGGAGCGGGACATTCCCATCTGGTGGGTGCTGGTAGGCGTACTCGGAGGCCTGCTGTTGCTCATGCTCCTGGTCCTGGCCATGTGGAAGGTGAGGCATGAAGAGAGGGTGGGGTCCCCAGGTGGGCACAGGCTTGGCCCTGCCCTACTTCACAGGGAGGCAGAGAGAGATGGTGACCCAGAGCCCATTCACATCTCCACTATTAGAGTATCATTCTCCAGAAGACGTCTTCCAGGGCACAGACCCTGGGAGAGGTGGCATCTAAAATCCTAAGGCCTTTCAACCTGTTCCCTACTGAGAGAAAGAGTCACGGGGGAGGGAGTCCTGGCTGTTGATGAGAACGGAGCTCAACTCCTGACTCTGTCCTTCTCCCTGAATGAGGTGGGAGACCCAAGTACGATCCAGACCCCTGCTGGGTCATCCCTCCTTTGCACCAGGGGAGCTATTCTCAAACTCGGTCAGGTGCTCAAGCCCTGGGAAATCATGGTGCTTTTAGGGAAAATCATGCATTAGGCTTAGAGTCATCAAATACATATCATTTTGTACTTAAGTCACATAGAGACATAATAGCCAATATTTAAGAAAAATTCAAGGGAGGGGCACCTGGGTGGCTCAGTTGTTGAAGCATCTGCCTGCAGCTCAGGTCATGATCTCGGGGTCCTGGGATCAAGCCCCACATCAGGTTCCCCGCTCATCGGGGAGTCTGCTCCCTCCTTTCCCTATGCCTGCCTCCCCTGCTTGTGCTTGCTCTCTCCCTCTCAAATAAATAAATAAACTTTTTTAAAAATTCAGAAGAAAAATACCAAATTTTTTAAAAAGTAACTTGTTCCCTGAATTATCTCAGAATGAGGAAGGCCTCCCTTTGTGCACGCAGTGGGATCTGATTCTGTGCTGGTACAGGGAGAAGACCTCGTAACTGGCCACTTTCTAGCATACTTCTTCAACTGATCATCTTTATACCCTGTTTCTGGCTTCTGTGCACCTGCAGGGCGGCTTCTTCAAGCGCAACCGGCCACCGCTAGAAGAAGAGGAGGAGGAGTGATGGAGCAGTCCACGCTCTGTCCTAGGAGGAAGGCTGGGGACCTGCCTGCTCTGCCCTTTCTTCAGTGTGCGCCCCCCAGCTCTGCTCACCCACGGGTTGGAGCTGTGCCATGGAGGCCTCCTGATACCCCCCTCTACCTCACCCCCCAGAGCTGGCCACTCCTTTCCTTGCTGCCAAATAAAGAGGCTGAGTCCCAACCCCTGCATCTCTGGGACCCCCAGCATGCTGTCTCCTCTTGGGTCAGGGAAGAGAAAGGGACCAGGGACAGGTGATGTTCAGAGTGAGGGTCTGGGGCTGCTGGAAGTGTGGGCAGTGGGTGTCTCTGCCAGGCAACGGTTGCAAATGACTGTCTTTGGAGAGTGTCTGGGAGTAGAGAGTGAGGGTAGAACAGAGGAGAAAGGGTAGCAGGCCTCCAGGTGAGACAAGAGGGGGATGGGGTATCTGGAGGTTGGAAGCATTATGGAAGGCAGGCTGGTCCCTGGTGGACAGCTTTAAATATTTTTGTTTTGTTTTGTTATCATGATTTCGAAGGGATAAGCCTCAAGTTGACCTGGGATTCAGGAACATAACCAGCTCTCCCCACTCCCATTTTTATTTATTTATTTATTTATTTATTTATTTATTTATTTATTTATTTATTTATTTCAGAGAGAGAGAGAGAGAGGCAGAGACACAGGCAGAGGGAGAAGCAGGCTCCATGCAGGGAGCCCAATGCAGGACTCGATCCCGGGACTCCAGGATCACACCCTGGGCTGAAGGCAGGTGCTAAACCACTGAGCCACCCAAGCATCCTTCCTCACTCCCATTTGAAGAAAAAAAAAAAAAAGCCTTTATAGCTGTGTTCAGAGTGAGGAGGGGGCAAAGCGAGGTTGACTAAGCCCTCAGGCTGCACCAGGGAGAGGACAGCAGACATTGCTGCCCAGCTTACCCTTCTTCCCCAACAAGGAGAAAGCTCTCCAGTTAGGAAGGAGGGCTCCAGGCAGAGAGCTCACAGGACAGCTAGGAGCAGAAGACAACTCTCCCTCTGCCCCCCAAGACTGGAATCCCAGGATAGAAGGTGGGGGGGTCCTCCTGGAGTCTTGAGAAATGTGTTGCTTCATGGGTTCAGTAAATATTTATTGAGCACCTCCCATGTGCCCGGTACCATCTGTGTCCTGAGATGGAGCAGTGAAGAAGGCAAAGTACCTGCCCTTGTGGAACTTACATTCAACCAGGAGTTAAAAAGTAAACAAGTAAATAAACATATGGTCAGTGGTGGTCAGTGCTGGGAGTAAAAATAAAAGTCAGGAGATTGTGAGAGAATTGCGTGGGAGAGATAGAGCCGTCAGAGAAGGCCTCTAATGAGGTGAGCAGAGAGATGGATGAATGAGCCAGGTGGCTGCTCAGGAATAAAGTGTTCTGGACAGAAAGAGCAGCCAGTGCAAAGGCCCTGGAGCAGGCTTGATGTGTTTAAGTAAAAGCAAGGAGGCCCATGGTGTGGAGTCAGGCACAGGATCCAGATGAGGTCAGAAGTTGGGGCAAGCAGGTAGCGCCTTTTGGCCATGGGTAGGACTTTGGACTAGATGCTAAGTGTTGGGGGAGGCCACTGGTGAGCAGACTTACCTCACAAGAGCTGCTGGTACTTGATTTTACCCAAAGGGATAAAAGGTAAATTTGGAAAAGAAAACAATTTGACATCATGCATGGCAAGTTCCAGAACAGGTTTTTAGTTGGGTGACTTTTCTTAGGAAAAGATTAAGCTGCTGTGATCCTTACACACCAGCCAGATTCCCTCTCCACCCCACCATTGCAGCTTCATAGCCCCAGACAGTTTATCTTGATCCAGCAAAGCATTTGGTATTTGCCTTATGGACAAGACAGAAATGCGAGCTGGATTTAAAACTGAATAACTCTGGGATCCCTGGGTGGCGCAGCGGTTTGGTGCCTGCCTTTGGCCCAGGGCGCGATCCTGGAGACCTGGGATCGAGTCCCACATCGGGCTCCCGGTGCATGGAGCCTGCTTCTCCCTCTGCCTATGTCTCTGCCCCTTTCTCTCTCTCTCTCTGTGACTATCATAAATAAATAAAAAAAATTAAAAAAACTAAAACTGAATAACTCCGATAAAGCTGAAGGAGACCTCTAGGAGGTTGTTCCAGAGCTCGGTCCTGGCCCTGAGCTGCCTGGTATTGTCCCAAGCCCCTTGAATGGAGGCAGGGAAGCTGCTCTCCACCCAGCAGATGGCTGCTGGCTGTCTGGGAGCTCCAATACAATGGGTTACTGAAGCGGGTTCATGGCAGCCCTTGACAGATTGTAAAGTTGGGTTGAAACCAACAAGATGAAATTCACCAGGGATGAGTGCTGAATTCTGTGTGGAGATTGTGAAAAATTGGTTACATAAGAAGAGGACTGGAAAATCTGGTTAGATGGAGATTTGTGAGAAAGAGAGAAAGAGGGAGGGAAGAGGAGAGGGAAAGATTAGAAAGAGAGGGAGGGCAGGAGGAGGGAAAGAAGGAAGAGGGAGGGAGAGGGTAGAAAAAGAATCTGGTATCACAAACTCACAAGGTCCCCTTAAGTCAGAAGAGCCAACCAGGGGACCCAACCAGGAGAGAAGCCTGCTGTCCTGTGGGGAACCAGGCTCTTGCTCTAGGTATCTAGGCCCCCTTGAGGCGCCACATCGTGAGAAGGAGGAGAGAGCCAGGGAAAACCAAGAGAGGGACACCGAATGACATGAGGATTTAGCCACCCAGAAGCTGAACCATGATGACAACCAGAAACTGGAAAGAAAGAGAGCTCCGCTGGGGCTAGGGCAGGCCTCAGATGTGGGGTTCAATGGCTGGGGAAGAAGGCGAAGACTGCCATCATGAGCCAGTACCAGTGGGACCCTGGTGATTCTCGCAAAGGCCGCTGGCATCTTTAGAAGAAATTTCCTAAGCATTATGACTGTCCAACAATGGATATTAGAGTGGAGGTGAGCCCCCACTTTTCCCTGGACCAACACCGGCCCCACTGATGGCGCCCCTGCTCCTGTCAAGCATATGCTAGATGCTTTACATCCTGATCTCATGTCATCGTGAGGACAGCCCCACGAGCTAGAGATTATGACAATTCTCACTTGAAAGAAGGGCGGGGGACCAGAAGGCGAAGTCACTTGCTCACGGCCCAAGAGGCAGAAGCTAGACCCGCTGACCAGCTCCCACTGCGTGGGGGTTTGTGCGGACAGACCTGGGCAGTTCCTACACTTTTCGGAGACGCTACTACCCTACTGCCTCTTCGAGTGTACGGTCAGCAGTAGCTTTTCCTCCCAAATTCTGCACCAAATTCCGAGGGCTCCGGACCTCCAAGCGCTCGGGTCGATCGGCCCCTCTCCGTGGCAGCCGTCGCAGCTCGGGGTCTGGCAGCGCAGGGTGGGGGCCGCCGGGTGGGCTGAGCGCGGGCTGGGCCGGCGGGCGGGCGGCGCGCGGAGCGGGGCAGCGAGGGGGCGGCGCCCCGAGGTCTGCGGGGTGGGGCGCCGCCTGCAGGGGGCGCTGGCGGCGGCTCCGGGCGGAGACAATCGCGCCGAGCGGCCGCCGCAGCCAGAGCGGGAGCCCGAGCGGCGCGGCGCGGCGCAGAGCTGGGGCTGAGCGGGGCCGGCCGAGCGGGGCCGGGCGGGAGCCATGGGCCTCTAGGGCCCGGCCGAGCCCCGCGATGCCGCCGCCGAGTGGCCCCAGCGTCCTCGCGCGGCTGCTGCCGCTGCTGGGGCTGCTGCTCGGCGGCGCCTCCCGGGCTCCCGGCAAGTCGCCGCCGGAGCCCCCCAGCCCGCAGGGTGAGTCTCGGCCGAGAGGGGCAGCGATCGCGGGCCTGCGCCCCCTCGATGTGGCCCCCGCCCGCCAGCTCCCTCGTCTCGGCGCTCGTGAATCGGGGGTACTCTGTTCCCTGGGCTGGGGTGGGGGCAGCCAGCGACTTGGGGTCGGCGCTTACGGGGGAGAGGGGGGAGGGAGAGGGCGACGGCCGGGGCGGGGGTCTCGAGGAGACACAATGGAGAGAGCGGGGGTCCCCAGGCTCCGCGCCGCCGCCCCCTCTCGCCTTGTTTTTCTCTCTCCGGGTCCGCGAGGCGCTGCTGCCTGAGCCATTGTCTATCGGAGACACCCGCCCAGGGGCGGGCTGGGGCGGGCGCCCGCTCCGCAGCCCCCTGCGGGTTCCCCGCTGCCGACCCGGCCGGGGTGGGGGCGCCAGCCTCGGCTGCCACCTCGGACCCGGACGGGGGCTGGGCGCCCCGAGCCGGGCTGGAAGGGGGGAGGGGGAGGCGGTGGGCGGATTGACTGCTCGAATGGGGTTCTTCGCCCTGGACCCTGACAGCCCCCGGCCGGCCCCCCCAGGTTCAGGATTGGGGGTGTACCAAAGAAGCGCTGTCAGCCCTCGAGGGGGGAGGGGCTGCAGTTTGGGGGGGTCTGGAGAAGGGGGTACGCGGGGCTTCCCAGCCAAAGCGCATGGCAGGGCTGTGGTGGCGGAGCCATGCTGGGCTGGCTGGCTGTGGGCTGCGCCGGCGGGGCGGGCAGGTGCCTGGGTCCCCTCCAGCGGACCTCCGGCCACTCCTATCCCCAGCCTGCCCCCAGCGCACCCCCCCCCCTCTTCTAACCTCTCCCTCGCAGTGAAACGGAGCCTCCCGGCGCCTCCCGGCCCAGGTGGGTGTGTGAGGTGGGGGTGGGGTGGGCTCCTGCAGCGGGCGAGGGGGGAGAGCTAGACCGCGGCTCCCTTCCGACGCCTGGGGTCTCAGGGCCTCGCCCACTCCAGCCCCGCGCCCACCTTCCAGCCTCCTGCCCCACCACCCCCGCGCGCTTCCCTCTACCGCCTCCGGGCCCCATCCCTGCCTGAAGCAGTGCTCTCCACTCTTCGCCTCCCCACCAAGGAGCTGACAGGAAAAGCAGGGTGGGGGGGTGTCTGGTTCAGGGAAGTGGGGTCCGGATGAAGGGAGGGGGGTCGGATTTCCTCCTGGAAGGAGGCAGGGCTGAAGCCAGGAGAGACGGATGCAAGTATGGAATGTCAGGCTTGAGAAATGGGGAAGGCTCACCTCTGGCCTCAGTCTTCCCTGCTCTCTGTGGGAGGAGAGGAGGCTTTGATGGGTAGGAAGGGGCCCTGGTTTCTCAAAAAGCCTTTCCTGCAAGTCCTGTACCCCAGGGGAGGGGGCCCGGGGAATTGACTGGAAGAGAGTCAGGATGGGAGGCTCTCACTGGCTGAGAGCCCAGCTTGAGGGGAAGGGGATGGAGAAGCTGCTAGGCACCTGCTCACCCCTGCCCACCCCTGTGCGGTTCCTTGGGCCCCCTCCCCTCCCTGAGGCTCTGGCCCTGGAACCCTGAGCATTCCTTCAAATGACCATATTCCAGACTCCTGGGTCCTCTCTTCCC